GTGAATCGTTGCTCGTGATTGAGGGCAGCCTATCTATAGAATTGTGAATAAGTTGGCACTTCTTTCATGACCATAATTTCTTTTTTTTTAAATGTACGAATAAATTGTTCCTAAACTGTTCTTGTTTCTGATCCAAAGAAAAGGGACATTTTGAAACAGCCACTGTTACTTTATGACTGATTCTTCGTGTTACCCATATAGGTACAATGTATGAAGCCCATTGTTTGGTGGTTTTAGATTGCTGCAATATTGCTTAAAGCTGCGTAAAACCAAACTCATTCACTCTTAGTGTCCCGATAGCGGGGATAACTGTTCATATTACTGACCAATACATTGCCTGGGTTGTGGTTGCGTTATCTGTAGGCTGTTGAGATAAGGTGAGTTTTAAGCCGTACTCCAGCTATATTCCAGCTATATCGCGGCGGTCTGTAAATAATCGAGTCTGGACCAGACAATCCAGTGATCAACAGCAAAAGCACAAGGGTCAACCAAGCCAGCGAGCCTGTCCACCCGATCCCGTTAGTCGCCTCTTACGACAAACATGGGTTACTGAAGGTTCATTCTAACCCGGACCTTCACGGGTGTCGAGATTAGGCCTGGTGATTGCAGCCAACATCATCCATCCAATTACATTTGTCCTCTTTTCTCAGCACTAGAACTGGTCTAAATTGAGGTTTCATTATCATACTGTACAATTTCATTATTTATTTTTTATTTTTTTCATTCAACAAGGGATAAATAAATATTCTAGTGTGAGAACAGTGAAGGATACTTTTTAGTAATGTCAGTATTTATATAATTATTGATTTTAAAAAAAAGAAATAGAATTGTTTTAAAAAAAAATGACAAATAGAAATTGGAAAACGAATGGGTGTTGAATATGGAAAATATTCCAACGAGGTATTTTTAAACGTTTTGATTTATTCACGACGGAAGTTACAATATTTACCATGTTCAACATCTACCCATGAAGGTCCGGGTTAGAATGTACCCTCAGCCACCTATGCTTGTCGTAAAAGGCGACTAACGGGATCGGATGGTCAGGCTCGCTGACTTGGTTGACACATGTCATCGATCCCGATTGTGCAGATTGATGTTCATGCTGTTGATCACAGGATTGTCTGGTCCAGACTCGATTATTTACAGACCGTCGCCATATAGTTGGAATATTGCTGAGTGCGGCGTAAAACTAAACTCACTCACTCACTCACTCATGTTAAACATCCACGTGTTTTGTGATCTATTTATTACACACAGGAAGGGAAAACAGTGTGAACCATGATGACAAATCAAGCAGATGATGCCAGATGTAAACAAAACGAAAGGAAGATAACAGCTACGCGACTACTTTATAGATAAAAGTAAACACATAAAATATTCAATTAAAAAAAACTACTAATCCCCAGTCCAAGCAAATTGAATTTAAATTATCCACAAGCCTAATGTTTTGTTTGGTTGACATTTTTGGTCATAAACTGCTTGAATGGAGTTATAATGTTAGTTTAAAATATCGAGGTGGCAACAAAAAGTTCGGCATCATGACGTCACTATCGTTGAATAACCTAGTTTGGTTACACAACATTCGTTGGATAACTTTCAACTGGTTACACAACACCTGTTCAAATAACCAAAATTATCTCATTAAGATATTCAGATCAATGGCCACCCCCTACAAAGTTGAAAACCCCTCCAACCCAGAACAAAATGGGTGATCCCCCCTTAAAATCATCGACAGTTTTGTTTTATGATATCTTTTCATGATGTTCATTAAACATTTCGGTCTACATACAGCTATGACCCGTTTTACATTCCGCGTGGGTACAATGTGTGAAGACCATTTCTGTTGTCCCCTGCAGGGATATTGCCGGATTATAAAACCATACTCACTCGTTCACTAACGCACAACATTCACGTGTATACAAGAATTCCGTATGTCATTATTGATAAATACTGGCACTCCGTCTACACCCGGAGGTCTCCGTGTCATAACGACAACATACACGGAACTCCATCGAGACATTAACAGGTAATCAATAATAAGAGTAGTGTCTCGCATAACGAGATCCCGCGAGACCAGTGAAACAGTACGTCTTGAATGACATACCTTGAGGGTCGAACGAGGTACATTAGGAGATTTACGGAAATTCATTGTAACATGTGATAGATAATCAATACTTATTAAGTACATCAGCGGAACATATACAAGAGTCTGTACCAGGAGCATCCCTTTATCACACAGCCTCCGTGAATGGAATGATGCGGCATCGATTATCCTGCATCGCACGATGCCGGTCCTCGAGTGATCGGCTTTTGATGTCTCAAGTGAAAACCGATAACCCAACAAGGCTTATTAGATTTAAAAAACCTACAGCATTGTCGATCGATATTGTGATTTGGTACTTGAAAAGGATTTCCTTTGTAGCTTTGTTGATTCAAGAAGCACGCGACACATATAAGATTTAGAGTTGTTTTCTGTTGTTTGTTAGCCTGTCGCTCAGATACTCATTGTTTGAACTGGAATTATATTGACAGTCTGACGGTGGCGATTCTGGGGATTTTAAGCAACCTCTTGTGTCATGCTGAAGTTCCTGTATCAGATCATATTAAGATGAACATTTTTGAGATGCAATTACTGATGGAGACAGTTGAATCAATGAATGTTTTTTCACGCCGCAGTCAGTAATATCACAGCTTCATCCTGTTTATATTCCATAGCTGTGAATATCCAGGTTAGGACTTGTCTTCTGAAACCCATGCTTGTCGTAAGAGGCAACTGATGGGATCCGGTTGTCAGGCTCGCTGACTTGGTGGACACATGTCATCGTATCCCAATTGCGTAGATCGATGACCGTGCTGTTGATCACTGGATTATCTGGTTGTACACATGTTATATCCATTCTTTACGGTTGTTCTCGGAATTTGCGCTTCGCATTGAGGTTTAGATCACTATTTTAAATGAAACCCAACATGCGTTCATATATCGCCCACTTCATACACTAACATTAAATAACGTCATCAGCCCAGGACACACACAAAATCATCGCTACGCTACGACTATCATGTTATGTCCAAGGTTCATCTGGGCCCAAGGTTCATCTCCGCATTGCAGTGGACAGTTCGATCCCCGGGTTCAAGATATCTTGAAAGCTGGAACTGGTTGTTGTACTGTTTGGCTCTGAACACTAAAGGGGTAGCACAAAGTCAGATTGATTGTCTCAGTGTTGCGATAAAACAAAGTTTGATCATCTCGGTGTTCAGATAAAACAAATTTGATCCTCTCGGTGTTGGGATAAAAAAAGTTTGATCATCTCGGTGTTAGGATAAATCAATGTTTGATTATCTCGGTGTTGGGATAAATCAAAGTTTGATCGTCTCGGTTTTGAGATAAAAGAAAGTTTGATCGTCTCGGTGTTGATATAAAAGAAAGTTTGATCGTCTCGGTGTTTAGATAAAAGAAAAATTGATTGTCTCGGTGTGGAGATAAAAGAAAGTTTGATCGTCTCGGTGTTGGGATAAAAGAAAGTTTGATCGTCTCAGTGTTGAGATAAAACAAAGTTTGATTATCACGGTGTTGGTATAAAACACAGATTGATCGTCTCCATGTTGGGATAAAACAAAGTCTGATTATCTCGGTGTTGGCAAAAAACAAACTTTGATTTATCCTGGTGTTGGCATAAAACAAAGTTTGATTTATCTCGGTGTTGGGGGATCGTCTCGATTTTGGGATAAAACATGGTCTCATCGTCTCGGTGTTTGATAAAACAAAATATTGATTGTCTCAGTGTTGGGATAAAATTAAAACAAAGTCGGATCGTCTAGGTGATGGCATAAAACAAAGACTTCCAAGTGCTGTAATCCTGAACGCGATGCTAAACGATCTCGTATCACCTTAACCACTTCAGGCAAATCTGAGGGAAGACATGGTTTGAAAACACATCCAGCTGCACGGCAAGCACCGGAAAGCTGTCGAAACGTTGAAGTACTGTGGCGATTAAGGAAGGGTTTTGAGAGGCTCTATACAGTGTTTAGTAATATGGGCGTCTGAACTTGTGAGACTGAGTGAGTGAGTTTAATTTTACTCCGCACTCAGCAATATTCCAGCTATATGACAGCGACCTGTAAATAATCGAGTCACGACCAGACAACTAAGTGATCAACAGCATGAGCATCGATCTGCGCAATTGGGAACCGATGACATGTGTCAACCAGGTCAGCGAGCCTGACCACCCGATCCCGTTAGTCGCCTCTTACGACAAGCATGAGTTACTGAAGATCAATTCAAACCCGAAGATCAATTCTAACCCGGTCGACCTTGTGAGAGGAAAGCCAGATGTCGCACAGCTGTTGGAGGTTTAACAACGTGACGAAACCCCAATTACACGCGATTGGTTCTGACACATCACAGGCAATAATCTGGGCGAATATGGGATTCGAACTCGCGATCAGTTGATTAATACACATAAAGCGACGACTATGAAGAAGACTATGAGACTCGTGTTTCTGTAAATATCTGAGACTAAAGTAGACGAAACTAGCGATTGATATCATGAGCACCTATCTAAGACGCCGGTATGATACACAGTTTACCAAATGTGATCTGGTTTCACCACTCATTTCATTAAGTACTCCTATTAGTGAGTGAGGTTTTACGCCGCTTTTAGCAATATTCCAGCAACATCACGGCGGGGACACCAGAAATGGGCTTAACACATTGTACCCATGAGGCATAAAACCCGGGCCTTCGAGCGAACGCTTAACCACCGGACTACGGCAATATCACTGAACAGTATACCTTCACCCAGTGCACCGACATGGGAAATAGATCCCGAGTTTGGGCGAGACGAGCGAACGCTCTATCCACTGGGCTACACCAATGCTACACTCCTCCTGCGACCTGCCACGAGCAAAGAAATTCAGTGTCATAATTAGGGCGAATCGAACCAAGAAACAGAGACAACAACAACAACACCAACAACAAAGAAACAACAATCCCAACGTGGTTATTTTAGATAAGTAAATTTATTAATGAAATATATCATGTACATCGTATAACGCCCCATTACGACAGTCGACTTCTTTCACAGCCCAAAAATAATATTGCATAACAAACAGAACCGATTTTAAAATAACACCCCGCAAATTCATCAAAAGAATCAGTGACTTCATCATATATATATTTTACGACATTACTATAGAGTCACAATTCAGCAAGGGCCACCAGGAATGTATTTTAAATGTTCTATGATCTTTTAATGTGCACGGCGCACAGGTCACAAATTAGGTGAAGTGAACAGCGTTCGTTAAGCAGCCATTGACTTGATGGTCGTATTCTTGCGAGTTTCTCAAGCCTTGGTCCTGCTTAAACTGTAGCACCTTCAGGGAATATGTTCATAGTTTTCCTGTAGCAGATGGGTACCCGGAGGGATAACGAGCCTGAGAACATACACACACTGATCCACACACTAATAGAGATATAGAACTAAGGGCGTACATTTCATATGGTGGCATGCTTTGTACAAACTGACTATTATTAAGTGATGTTTCAAACCTGGATCTTCGTGTTAAAGAGTGAACACTTTTACCACTGTCCTACCCATCATTCCAGTTCTTGCTTTTTTATGAACAAATAATAAAACAAGCCCTGCTAATATATACACTATAACTCTTCTGTGTTCTGTAAGTTGGTAAGTGAGTGAGTTTGGTTTTGTAGTAATATTCCAGCAACATCACGGCGGGGGACACCCGAATTAGGCTTCGCACATTGTACCCATGTGGAGAATCGAACCTGGGCGTGACGAGGGAACGATTTAACCACTAGGCTACACTACGCCCCACGTTGGTAAATGTTCATAAACAGTCACCGAATATGTCAGCGTACCTTACGTCATAATAGCTGCGAGGAAACATCATCATTCTGAACAGTGAGTGAGTGAGTGAGTGAGTGAGAGAGTGAATTTGTGAGTGAGTATAGTTTAACGCCGCTTTTAGCAATATTCCAGCAATATCACGGCGGGGGACATCAGAAATGGACTTCACGGGTTGTACCCCCAATGTTGGGAATCGAACCCGATTTTTCGGCGTGACGAGCGGATGCTTTAACCACTAGGCTACGTCGCCGCTCCGAATTTGAACCTCGAAACACGATGACGGACGAAACCCCCAAAGTGATGCCGCTGGAAGAAGTCTACATCTTTGGTGAAACACATGAGCACATACATTATTTTAGGGTGAATCTGGATTCGAACCCAGAACGCTGGATAAGGTTGGGCCCTCTGTTACCAATGCACCGCAAATCCCCATTCGAATCATTGGCCAATGCAGTTTATCTGAAAACATATCATATAATGAAAGCGCAAAGCCAAGAATGGAGCAAGTATTTGTATGAGTGAGTGAGTGAGTTTAGTTACCCACCGCCCCGTATTTGTATGAACCATTGAAGCGTCTTTCAACAGGCATAGAAGTCACAAATTAGCAAACGAAGAGGAAGAAAGGGAAAATTACTTCACAAATTATTCGTTGTTTGGTTTCCGTTGTACTAGTGAATATTACGCTGAAAAACTTAGCATTTACAACAAAAAAACACATAGATACAAATTACTGATATTGATACTGTGTTTCGCAAGTTAGGAAATAAATGAGTGATTTTAGTTTTGCTTTGAACCTTATTTGGTTTATATCAAGGCTTGAAGGTCCAGACTCGATTATTTACAGACCGCCGCCATATAGCTGGAATATTGCTGAGTGCAGCAAAAAACTAAATTCACTCACTCACTCACTCAAGGAACCCAAAGCGGTGTAGTTGAAACCTGAACGCGTGGGGATGGTGCTGACACAGCTGGAAAATATTCAGGATGATTCTCGGGTTCGAACAACGACCATTGGGTTTAAGGTATAATATTTCCAAAGGGGCTCAACTCTTCCTGGCCTATTTCGCGAACAAAAATTACTGACTTCTGACAGTAAATTAATGAGACACTCATTCTTATTTAAAGTCTCATTACATATAACAACCTCAAGACGTTATCCCCTTCCTAGGAAGCAGCACCAATATATTAAAGAACACTAAAATGTGTGTTATCGGTATCTGACTTAAATAGTTCGTACGGAAAGGTTCAGGTAAAATACACCTGCAATTTGAGGATTAGCAAACTGCATATTTCCTAACTAAGCAGGTTCATAGCATCGATTTATACTGCGATCGTAATTCCTCTTTGTGTAGGTAACCCCGGAATTTTAAGCTCATAAATGTTTGAAAGATTTATAAAATCAGGTCATGCATTGCTGCAAGTAAGAGCGATCTCATACAATGGTGAAAATGCAAAAGAAAAACCACAATACGAAACTGAAGACAGAACAGAATTTCAAACAGGAAATATAATTTAAAACGTTAGGATTAGAACTAGTTAAATAATGGCTGGGAACTTATTTCTTTTCTACAGTGTAATCTCAAATCCAGGGCCAGTTTTACAAAGCGATTTTAGTGCTAAGGTGATCATAAATCATTACGTTAACTTACGAACATCGTGATCGCTTTGTGGCCACGGGTGCCGTTATGCAAAGCGATTTTAGCGCTACGTGCTCGTAAATCAGAAACGTTAACGTTAACGTTAACTTACGAACATCGCGAGATCGCTTTGTGCTCTCTGCTCTCTTGTACATAGCGATTTTATCTCTTAGGTGATCGTAACTCCCTTGCCTAAACAGTCTTAGCGAGTAGGTTGCTTTGCACAACGGCACCCAGGATATTTGCCTTAACGTACGGCGCAGTTCAAGACGTCTTTGGTTCAGAATGCAGCAATATGTTTTACTGCATGCCCAGCCATTCTGGTGGGTAGTAGTCCTCTTTGTTGTACTGTCGGTCAAGCCACGTCTTTTCTCGCGGGAAGTTTTTAAAATATACAACATCACCTCCTGCCAGCCAGGCTCCCCACCACCCGAATGACCCGGATGTAACAATATTGTGATCACAGTGAGCCAAAATAGCCAAATCCACCTCCCGACGTCCGTTCGTAAATATAGTGTCGTCCGCCATAAGGTTGTCTTTGCACCACATCACACTGTCCGAGCACACAACGAACAAGGGGTCCTCATACTTCTTCCGGAAGTAATTCATTGACCTGTTAAGAAATCCGAAGTCGGCTACGTTGTAGCCTCGGTCTCGTTCATATTTCGACGCCATGTCACCTCGTCGTACATGGACGCCGACTGTTATCCGAGTCCAGTTGGCAAGAACTGGCGCTTCCTTCAACATGTCTTTGATGACTTCGTCTTGAAATGTGAATTCTTGCCGTATGGTTTCCGAAATGTTCCCGAAGTATTTCCATGACTGATAGTACCCCACCAACGACCAGTTGACATTGTGGGGCAGATGTTGAACACTCTTGTCATACACCCCAGGGCTTTTCTCCCTCTTCGGTTTTGTTTGTACCTTTGAGTTTTTAGTTCCCGGGGCAGTGAGTTTGAAAATTCGTCTCAAAAAGTGTGAGCTTGCTATTGTTGCGGTGTAGCCATGGAAACTACTAATACCAACAAGAGAGGCATACTGAAACATTGCGTTACCAAGGCGACCGCCTCCATGGATCGTCATGGTGTGCGTTTTCTTGAATAGTTCAGAAGCATTCCTACTCTCGTTACAATTGAGAATTGATGCATTGTGGGAGATTTCAATGACTTCGGGTTTGGGTATTTGTTGGTTTGTACGTAGGCTCTTAGTCACCAAATCCTTGAACACAGTCTGTCCTCTATGTCCTGATAGCACCTGTCCTCTTCTTCCATCTGTGTGTTTGACGTCACTTCCTGACATGACGTCACCGGACAGTGTCGACATCTGGTTGTGAAGGAAGACCAAAAACCCGGAAGCAACGAGAGTCAGAAAGAATGCGGCTTTCCGCCGGCGTCGAAACGGACGCATCCCAAAAGGGCGCCAGACATGACCTCATTCCGAAACAGGCGGACCGGAAGTGAGCCTCGATGTGAGGGTGCAACTGCAGGCCTGTGATTTAGCCATGAGTCCAGTAGTTAGCCTGAAAATACAATGAAAATACCGGTGTCAGAAATGATAATGATATACACAATTCGAAAATATCTAAAAAAAACCCTCATAATATAATAATCTGTTCAAGTGAAACATTTAGCTGTTGGTAATATTCACCATCTGAAAAGAATTTGTCATTCGTCATCAGTGTGAAAATGCGTTCTGAACTTCCTAAGCCTGCGTCAAAGTAGCACTATTTTGCTAAACACCTGGTTACACTATCACTATCAATATTAAACTGCATCATGGTAGAGGATTGGTAATATGAAACAAGCATAGTTCAAGTGGACACACATACATACAATGCACATTGCTATATCAGAGCAATTATCTTGAAAGCGACACGTAAAATCCCGTTTTACAAACATACATACAAACATTTGTATAGCGCCGATATTCAGTACAGCTGCTCCAAGGCGCTTTCATTTCGCCTCGATCATTGGATGTCCATCACAACGGCACATCGTATTTTTAATCTCAACTCCTTGGGGATCATACAACTCTTGCTGCCTACTAGGCTTTCCCATCCTTACGAGGTACCCATTCACAGCTGGGTGGACTGGGACCCATAGTCACAGCACTTTGTCCATGTTCACTGCACGTTGCTGTACCCACAACTAGGTGTTTGCACGTATTCATGTGGCCACCATGTGGTCATATACCTAAGGGATTCGTGGGTTCTTTTAAGTGCGCAGGGTTGTGTACTGTACACTCGGGGTTGTGACAACACTGAAAGAGTCTTCGCACAAATTTGACTCCAAGGTTTCTACACCCGGTCACAGGTGGGCTCGATCCCGACACCTCAAAGCTTGCTGCATCACTAGCCTGGCGCGTTAGACAGCTCGCCCGCCGCGCCCCCGCGTTTTACCATATGATATGATTTGAAACCGAGCTCACAGCACAAAACACTTGCATATACACCCATATAAGCATGTCTTCAAAACAGCGGTGATGCCGAGGGTATTTAATTGAGCATTTGGTCAGCTGATATTTCACAAAACTGAAATTTTCAACAAACGATACTCAAAACCCTTTACGTATCGATTTTCTATCGAAACGTAATTATCTCCAATCAGACGCCGCACTACTACTCAGCGACACAGTAGATCAATAAAAAATACATCTTTTTAGCTAAATGTTTTCTTCAGCTTCGGTGATAATTTTCTTTGTGAGAGACTCCAGGAGAGACTACTAGAGTCTATTTATCGGGTCTCCCTCGCTAGTTACAGCCATCTGCGAGACTCTAACGCCTTGCCCACAGCGAGAAGGGAGAATTAATCACACATTTAGATGCAAATCACTCGGATAAAGCGACTTATGAAATATTCATCTCAAGGTCCTAGCCCCACAAACCTAATGACCACTACAGTACTGTCCCGAGGCTGCTGGGGTACCTTCGCGACAACTGATGCAAATTTCTACAAGGTCGTAAACATGTGTCAGTTTGTGCCCGATTGCGCTGTGGTGTATTGATTTTCCAAAGCAAGTGATAGGAAGACGTTTATTTGTTAAGACTTTATATTAGTTGGAGTGGCAAAAAACAAGATAGAAGTAAATCTTAACGAAATATGCACGGGTTGAGTTCTTAGGGAAATTAATGTTCTCCTATACGTCAGTCAGAAAAGGAAATCACATATTTCACAATTACAAGACCGGGGAGTTTTATACGTCCGTCTTGAGCTGAAGAGTTGCGGTTTTTTCTTCAATCGTTTTCATTGCTTCTGTGCGAAAAGGTATTGGCTTGGTTTGTTTGGTGTTTTACGCCGCACTCGGCAGTATTCCAGCTACACGGCGGCGGTCTGTAAATCCAGTGATCAAATAGCATGAGCATGAGCCGATTACATGTGTCAACCAAGTCAGCGAGCCTGACCACCCGATCCCGTTAGTCGCCTCTTACGACAAGCATGAGTTGCTGAAGAGTTGCTATGGAGTGGGTGTTTGTCGTTGTCACCAGCAAATAAAATGCAAGAAAAAATAAATTATATGCTGATGTTTGATGGGTAGAATTAAGCAAACAAAAACTGCTTGTCCGATTATGATGTACTTGATATGAGTATCACAGCTGTGTTTTAGAGCTTCTACTATTTTGATCCTAGTTTTGTTTTGTCAACGTTTTCGTCAAGTCGAGTCAAATCATATTTGGTTTTGCCAGGGTTGATTCTAACCGACCTGAAGCTTAAAATGTACATCGCTTTTGTCACTATTCCAGCTATATCACGGGTGCCTGTTAAAGATACGAGTCTGGACTGAACAAACCGATGGTCTATAAGATGAGCACCGGTCCGTCATCAGAACACAACGGCATACAAATCGCCATGTCACAGATTTTTTAAACTCGAAGACGAATTGAATGATAGGAATAGGACTCAGGTAAACTAGTCTTCGCCCCATAAGTTGATCACACGTGTCTCATGAACACCTGGTGTCATCACAGACTGAAGCGATCAAGTCATACAGCCACCTGCCTGTTTGGGCGGTGAGGTAGCCTAGTGGCTAAAGCTTTCGCTAGTCACGACTGAGTGGCTGAAAGTTTTCGCCCTAGTCACGATCACGGCGGGACCCAGGTTTGATCGAACCCGGGTCTTCGGCGTGACTAACTTTGGTAGGCTAATACGACGAAGACCCAGGTTTGATTCCTAACTTTGGTACAATATGAGAAGCCCATTTCAATATACCCCGCCGCGATATTGCTGAAATATTGAAAACAAAAAATACGGCGTAAAACTAAACTTTCTCACTCACTCACTCACTATCTTGCCGTTTATACACAATGGGATTTATTTCGGTGGTTAATCGAAACTAGTTATTGTATACAGTGTTTGACTGTACATATTGTATCGATTGACGTGTTTGTGGTAAAGCAAAGAAAGCCACTGCCTAGAGAGACGAAGAACAATGTTTTACTGTCACGTATTGTGAAAATACGTTACAAATGACACTTGTTTTACTTGACGCTCAGCCGCAACAAGACACGGTCGGTTCGGAGCCAGTATACTGTGCATCAGTGGGAAGTACAATAGGACCGGTGTTTGTCCGGAATAGTACATCCTGCAACACGCACGCGTATATGCACCTCGCCATAGAAGTGCAATAACCTTGACCCAACTCAACTCACGTCACCATGTTCAGAGTCAATATTATGGAAAGAATCGTCTACGTATGCGAGTGTACCATCTGCGTAGATTAAAGGGCCCTCTACGCATATGAAAGTGTCTTCTACTTATATGAAAGTGTCTTCTCCGCGTACGACAGTGTTTTGTACATAGATCACAGTGTTGTCCACGTGTATGAAAGTGTCTTCTTTGTTTACGAAATTATCTTCTACATAGATTAACGTGTCTTCTACTAAGATGAAAGTGTCTTCATCGTATACGAAATTATCTTCTACATAGATTAACGTGTCTTCTACTAAGACAAAAGTGTCTTCTTCGTTTACGAAATTATCTTCTACATAGATAAACGTGTCTTCTACTAAGTCGACAGTGTCTTATTCGTATACGAAATTATCTTCTACATAGATTAACGTGTCTTCTACTAAGATAAAAGTGTCTTATTCGTATACGAAATTATCTTCTACTTAGATTAACATGTCTTCTACGTAGATGTCTTCTATATAGATTAGTGTCTTCTGCTAAGATGAAACTGTTTTCTGCTAAGATGAAAGTGTCTTCTTCGTTTACGAAGGTGTCTTCTATAAAGATTAGTGTTTTCTACTAAGATGAAAGTTTCTTCTACTAAGATGAAAGTGTCTTCTTCGTATACGAAATTATCTTTTACATAGATGAAACTGTCTTCTACTAAGACGAAAGTGTCTTCTTCGTATACAAAATTATCTTCTACATATATATAAACGTGTCTTCTACTAAGATGAAAGTGTCTTCTACTAAGATGAAAATGTCTTCTTCGTATACAAAATTATCTTCTACATATATATAGATTAACGTGTCTTCTACTAAGATGAAAGTGTCTTCTACTAAGATGAAATTGTCTCTCTAAACGTGTCTTATACAAAATTATCTTCTACATATATATAGATTAACGTGTCTTCTACTAAGATGAAACTGTCTTCTACTAAGATGAAAGTGTCTTCTTCGTATACAAAATTATCTTCTACATATATATAGATTAACGTGTCTTCTACTAAGATGAAAGTGTCTTCTACTAAGACGAAAGTGTCTTCTTCGTATACAAAATTATCTTCTACATATATATAGATTAACGTGTCTTCTACTAAGATGAAAGTGTCTTCTACTAAGATGAAAATGTCTTCTTCGTATGCAAAATTATCTTCTACATATATATAGATTAACGTGTCTTCTACTAAGATGAAAGTGTCTTCTACTAAGATGAAAGTCTCTTCTACTAAGATGAAAGTGTCTTCTTCGTATACGAAATTATCTTCTACATAGATTAACGTGTCTTCTACGTAGATGTAAAAATCTTCCATGCATATGAAAGTGTTTTCTATTATAAGGGTAATGCTATTTTTGAGGGCATTATCATTTGCAGAAGCCGAGGTCTTCCATTAACTGCCGACGAAGGAGGGGCAGTTGAAAAAGACCGAGGGCTTCTGCAAATGATAATAACCCTCAAAATAACATTACCGTTATTATTAACTAAAATACATGGAATTTGTGTTGAAAGAAAAAGGAAACAATGAAGGAATTTGACTGTAAGTTTACCCAAATCAACTTCTGACGGGCTTGACTGCCCGAATGCAATTACGTCATCGAACAATTCAAGTGACGTCACAACAGAAAGTGACGATATTCGACCTTGGCCTTTGACAAGACCATAGCCTGCAACATGTCAAACTATGACAGTGTTCGGTTTTGGTCCATCAACAGTCTTAATAGTGCAATTGTTAAGGTTAGCACCAACAAGAAAGCCAATATTACCGCTATTTGAAGCGGGAATTTGGGTTGCTTTGACTTGTTTGACCCAGAATATCTGCCAGTCGAAAGCAAATTAATGTCGAACTATGACGTCACTTGACAACAGAACTGATAGTGGCCCGTCGTTAAGGTTGAGCGGTCCAATATCATTTGCAGCGGACCGCAAATTTCTGATAATGGGAGGGCCGTTTCATGATAATTCCATGTATTTTAGCTATAAGCAAATGTAAATATCTGCTAAGTAGATAATGTTTAGACTGTGGCACAAATGCGTTCCTATAACAGCGTGTAGATTGTATATTGTTGACTGGCCTACTGCAGTATGTAACTAACACGTGGGGTCATAATCAATACATGAAATATCTTTGAAAATCAATTTATCTCTTCCCGTTGAGTCACAACTAGGGGATAGCCTAGTGGTTAAGGCGTTCGCGTCACGCTGCAGACACGGGTTGGATTACCGTCATGGGTACAATGTGTGGAGCCCGTTTCTGGTGTCCCCCGCCGTAATAATGCTGGAATATTGCTAAAGGCGGGGTGAAACCAAACTCACTCACTCACACAATTAACCACTATATGGATTTGGTCTGGTCTAACGGTACTTCAGTTATAACACAGCGTGTTTGAACTGGCATCGTTCAGTTGTATCATGGCGTGCCATTTAAACGTGGAGTGATGCAGATCGTAAGCATTTTCTACTTCATAGAACCCACGAGGATAATGCCGACAAACCAATAAACAGAATCAGGGTGAATTGCTGTTCCGGTGTGCCCCAAGGGACACAACTCTGCACAGCTAATTGCGGCGCCCTAATCGATTTGATCTACATTCAAGGATAAAGTATGCCAGTTAAGAGAAATACACCGTTTGGTAGGCGTAAGGCGCGTGGAAGGAAATAGACGTAAATGCAAAGACAGTACTGTATTTTTTTCCTCATGTTGTTCCATGGACAATTGCTTGGGGTAATCTGGTATACTGGTTGGCTGAATTGTCGGAGTGACACGTGAACGTGACTGGCTAATGCCCCATTCTACAGACCCATTTTACTGGCAATTTATCACCCCCACCCCCCAACCCCGCCTACAGTCATCACCAAGGCCATCTAATGACTTCGAACCGACCAGTTCTTGCTCAACCCTAAATGCCAAATGTTAGCCAAGGAAGCAAAACGAATGTGGATGCCACCTTACTGGGAATAGCACCACCGAGCATTTAATCTCCAACCCACTAGACACCTAATCTTAAATGTTTGTTGGCAGGTAAGGTTCACTGTATTCATCTTACACGTATACCGCCTGCCGCCCTTGTACGTATAACCTGGTAAGAATTTAAGTCCAGAAAACGCGCATATAGCTAAAATAATGTTAAATAAGGCTCCAAACAATCAACGTAAATTTACATAGCGTTAAATAAGGTAAATAATGTTAAATAAGGCACCAAGGCAACAAGAACACAGGAAAGTTCATACTTAAAAATGGAAACTCAGGAAAAGGTCTTCGGCCTGAGCTGAAATACCGTTAAATAAGGCTCCTACCCCAAAGTCCCGTTCAACACTGACAATCGTCATATAGATGAAATACTGTTAAATAAGGCTCCAAACAATCAACACAGGAAAACTTCATATAGCTAAAATATTGTAAATAAGGCTCCAAACAATCAACACAGGCTCCAATGTTACAATCAACAACAGGAAAAGTTCATATAGCTAAAATAATGTTAAATAAGGCTCCAAACAATCAACACAGGAAAAGTTCATATAGCTAAAATAATCATTAAATAAGGCTCCAAACAATCAACACAGGAAAAGTTCATATAGCTGAAATAATGTTAAATAAGGCTCCAAACAATCAACACAGGAAAAGTTCATATAGCTAAAATAATGTTAAATAAGGCTCCAAACAATCAACACAGGAAAAGTCCATATAGCTAAAATAATGTTAAATAAGGCTCCAAACAATCAACACAGGAAAAGTTCATATAGCTAAAATAATGTTAAATAAGGCTCCAAACAATCAACACAGGAAAAGTCAATAAGGCTCCAAACAATCAACACAGGAAAAGTTCATATAGCTAAAATAATGTTAAATAAGGCTCCAAACAATCAACACAGGAAAAGTTCATATAGCTAAAATATTGTTAAATAAGGCTCCAAACAATCAACACAGGAAAAGTTCATATAGCTAAAATAATGTTAAATAAGGCTCCAAACAATCAACACAGGAAAAGTCCATATAGCTAAAATAATGTTAAATAAGGCTCCAAACAATCAACACAGGAAAAGTTCATATAGGAAAAGTTCATAAGGCTCCAAAAATATTGGTAAATAAGGAAATAATGTTAAATAAGGCTCCAAACAATCACCACAGGAAAAGTTCATATAGCTAAAATAATGTTAAATAAGGCTCCAAACAATCAACAAAAGATATAAAAGACCGTCCGTATTCACGTACTTGCTGTACATCTTCCAAATATTAAATGTCTCCTTACTCCGCAGGATCACTTGGCGTGCAAGGCGGCCTTTGGTGCCAGAATATTGGTTAGCATCTAAATCAACTTATTTCCATGATTACATGCTGGATATTAATGTCGATCATATGAAACCAGGATCTTGGTTGGAAACAAACGTTTTAAAGGATAAAATCTCGGTGAAATATGACTACTGTGTACATATTGTGAAAAGCGAATACAAATGGTTCGCATTAATCGCTCAGCTCACGCAAATCTCCAATTCCGTTCTCGCGACATCTCGTGATGGACGAGAGTATGGTCACTGTGGCATGTATAACGAGCTCAGGAATGCATCTCGCTCTGTAATTACCATAGTCATCGAAATTTCACCCTGAATTACCATCACAAATCTGCTGTGATGAAGTAGAATGTTCTTCTGTGGGGTAATGCCGGTCAACCGCCACAGCTGTAGGCTTTCGTCACCACTCGGCTCCATCCGTCACTAATCGACCCCATCCGTCAACACTCGACCCTTTTCAAAGCCTTCAAAGATACTCGTGTCTGTACCGATCAGCGATAAAGCCGAGTAATCAGTCAGAGCGTGCGTGTGAATTGTTTGAATTTGGTCAAAGAATCCCTCCTTAAATCGGATTCCTCTTGGTGTATCGAAACATTTTGTGAAGCTGACTTGATACCCCTCTGACGGGAGGTTTGAGCACATACACTGACGTACATGTATATCTTTGTTTTCTTGATGTTTAACGCCGCACTCAGCAATATCCCAGATATATGGTGGCTGTCTGTAGATATTGAATCTGGACCAGACAATCCAGTGATTAGCACCATAAGCATCGATCTATGCAACTGGGGTACGATAAAAAGTGTCAAGTTAGACACCGAGCCTGACCACCCGATCCCGTTAATCGCCCCTTACGACAGATATGGGATGTTGAAGGCCACTTCTAACCCGGATCTTCACGGGTAGTTGTAGTGTCAGCAGGAGGAGGAGGTGGGGAGAGTTGAAGAAGCAGTAGCAGAACCTTTGAGTGAGGTTTTTTGTTTGTTTATTGTTTAAATAAGCACCCATCAATATTCCAATGACGTGCATCAACTCGGTCAGCTACATTGATCACCCGATTCCGTTATTCAGTGAGTGAGTGAGTTAAATTTTACGCCGCACTCAGCAATATTCGAGCTATATGGCGGCGGTCTGTAAATAAATAATCGAGTCTGGACCAGACAATCCAGTGATCAACAGCATGAGCATCGATCTGCGCAATTGGGAACCGATGACATGTGTCAAACAAGTCAGCGAGCCTGACCACCCAATCCCGTTAGTCGCCTCTTACGGGAACATTGGTTACTGAAGGCTCATTCTAACCCGGACCTTCACGGGTGCCGTTATTCATCTAACATGGGTTGCTGAAGACCATTCTGTTAAAGTATTGAGGTTGGTGGAGAATGCATTTTTTTTCCAGCAAGAGAAAAAACAACACCCACACCACATCTCATCGGATCGCGTTCGAAACGAGATTTCGCGAGAGCCACATTTTCAACAAAGTCCAGGCAAAGAATCAATGTTTTGTAGCCAATGTAAATTGACATAATGGCGATGGGATGAAGTTTTAATTGACTCGGAGCTGACATTCAAACAGACATGACGCTTTGAGAGGAGCGAGGTGAAAAATCCCGCACGACGTGGTCAATACAACATCGATTCAGGACACTGTTCAAATCACAGACATTTACAGAAACCCGCTTGAGGAGGATTACAGGACTCCTACAAGCGAAGGTTAGAGTGTGCAAACGACATCCTCGATAGGTAATCACGCAAACTTTAGATGTTCATCGAAAACCAGAAAAGCTGTATAAATTACTTGTAAAGAAACCGTGGAAGGACAACAGGACTTTCTATGCATCTAATTACTGTAAGGCGTATTTATAGGAGTCGATAAGCTTTGCATATATTTTTTTCTTTTCCGTTATTGCCCTGTTTGTGTTCTCTTCAAAGAGCTGGAGATGATGGCGTTTGAGTTAAGGAACTTTCGTCATAAGCGGATGTAGGATGTCTTAGTACTCGAATTTCAAGTTTTGTCAAAGTCAGATTATTGAACCAGTGAGTGAGTGAGTGAGTATGGTTTTACGCCGCTTTTAGCAATATTCCAGCAATATCACGGCGGGGGACACCGGAAATAGGCTTCACTTATTTTACCCGGGTCATCGGCGTGACGAGCGAACGCTTTAACCATTAGGCTACCTCACCGCCCCGATTATTGAACCAGTGATTAACAGGATGAACATCGATTCAATTTAATGGGAGCGATTAGAGACGTTGTGCAATTTGCTTACGTACTTACAATATTCCGGCAATATAGAGGTATGCCAAATACCATCGATTCTGGACCAGACAATCCATTGATGAGTTCTCAAGTCAGCATATCTATGTCCCGGCCCATTTAGTCGACTCTTACGAGAAACATCGGTTGGAATTTCAAAAACAAGAAACAAGATCGATGAATCAATGAGTGAATATTTTAATAACATTACAGGGAGTCTATTTAATGTGGTAAGATCAGCCTGAGACACGATCAGCCTGAGATACGATCAGCCTGAGACACGATCAGCCTGAGATACGATACTGAGACAAGCTGCGGGTGGTTTATGGATACGCCGCGTTGCTAACAGAAGGCTGATTCCACAAGTGAGTGAGTGAGTGAGTGAGTGAGGTTGTTTTGACGCTTTAAGCAATGTTCCAGCAATATCATGGCGGGGCACACCAGAAGTGGGCTTCACACGTTTGTACCCATGTGGGGAATCGAACCCGGGTCTTTGACATGACGCTTTAACCACTAGGCTACTCCACTGATTCCACGAGAGAGGAACAGAGTGTGTGCGGGTCTTTTCCAAACCTCGTGACAATGTATTGCGTTTCCCTCTGATTACATATAACGAATCGCATGCCGGTGTGCATGGATGTTTATACTAGCCAGGGAGGCGTGAAGACCAGGGTTAGAATTGGTCATCAGCAACCAAGCTTGTCGTAAGAGGCGTCTAACGAGATCGGGTGGTCAGGATCGCTGACTTGGTTGACAATGTCATCGTATCCCAATTGCAAAGATCGATGCTCATGGGGATAATCACTGGATTGTCTGGTCCAGACTCGATTATTTGCAGATCACCGCCATATAGCTGGAATATCGTTAAACTACAAACAAACAAAAACAGTAGCCCACTGACCCACTGACATTCACAAATAACCCCCCCCCCCCCGACACATTATATGGACCAGTCCATGTTTGAACCCTTTAGTGCGGGTGACAATAAGTACCACAGTTTGGTTTTGTTGATACAAAGCGACCAGGCCCCGATTTCTGGAAACAAACTTAAGTTTTTACTCAAATTTCAAACTGAGTGTGACAATTTGAAACAGCTGAATTTTTAACTCAACTGCATTTTATAAATAACAAAAGCCCAAACAACTATAGCTATATCTATCCCAATTGTCTCCTAAGTTTGAGTTTAATATTAATTTCAGTTTATTCTGGGAAATGCATTTTCCTGCGTTTTCTCAAATTTGAGTAAAAACTCTGACTCAAGTCAAAACTCAGACTTAAGTTTGTTTCGAGAAGCGAACCACCAACGTCCTGCGCTCAGGGCAGACGTTCTGTCTGCAAGACCACGTACGACATTAAATTCAAAGGCGTTGCGGCTTTGGCCAAAGCGGAATTATACGGAATTTATAACAGTGGATGGTTAAAGTTCGTTTTCCGCTTTCTCGAAGCCCTTCCGTACAAAGTGACCAAACATCGAACCACTTATCGCCCGGGAGACGCTCTATCTTTCAGACTACGTTGGCGGTCCCTAGAGGGACATCGAATACAAAACCTTCCCTAATTGCGGATTTGACTTACACGGAATTGCATGGTATTTATGTCAGTGGGTAGTTAAACTTCGTTTTCCGGTTTCTCGAAGCCCAAAGGTACGAAACGACAAGGTACAAGGCGCTTTATTTATCCGACCACGTTGGCGGTCCCTAGAGGGACATCAGATACAAAACCTATGCTAATTGCGGATTTAACTTACACAGAATTACAGGGCATTTATGTCAGTGGGTGGTTAAACTTCGTTTTCCGGTTTCTTCACGTGGCTTGTTTCACTCCAAGGCAGATAAGTAGCGCTTCCATACAATTTCGTCTCGTGTTTGTAGAACCCTGTTTTCAAAGCCTGGAGAACTGTGTAAATGTCACACTTCATCAGCATGTCCAGTAGTATATTCGCGCTACGTTGGGAATGTATTTCTCACACATAAAAAATCAGTAATGACTGAACGAGAGTATTTTTATACACCTAAAACTCATGTGAATTCACGGCACTGAAGCTTTCAGGTCTTGACAAGAGACAGAATCAATTAAATGACTTCTTGGTGTGTTTAAGGGAAAGTGATGCAAATGTATTTTAGGCGGTGAGGGTTTGGGTCGGAATACTGCCTGTTAATGATTATAAAAGTATTAGGAAATGTTATTTTGTTTTGTTTCGATACGAGTATCATTGATTTGTTTTGACCTTATTTATGTGTTGGCAACTGTTTTAGACCTTGTAATGTTCTGGTAACGTTTGTCATATTTAGTGAAATCCACTTTTCAACGGCTAAATTTCCTTTGTTGATTAAGGCGAATTTGTTTCATATGAGCCACCACAGGAGGTTGAAGTAGCGGGAAATAATTGTCCTCCGAAGAGGGTACTTAACATCATATCATTCAGTGTACTTGATCATTGCCAGAGTTTTCATCGTAGAATGTTTGTAATGTTAATTTATGGCTAATTTACTCAAAATTCGCAAACAGCTGAAAAGATGATGTAAATCGAGCTAGGGTCCATGCAGGTAGCAAAAGTAATGTACGTACCCATGGTCCCTAGCATGGTGATCTACCTTCAGTTACTGGCGATCTTTGGCCCAATGTTATATTGTGTTGTTTGGAAATGATTCAGCATTTTACACTGACCTCAAACTAGTTATAATTAATTTGTGATAATCTAGTTGTTGTACTGTCCTTCGATGACAGCTTTTTAAAAAAAGTATGAATATATTTATTTTCAATGAATGACTTTTTGTCGTTGCTGAAATATTGCCGATTAACTCACTCACTCACTTGTTTCATGTGAGACACTTGCTAATTCTATATCACGGGGCCCTTCAAACTTTACAATAAATTCACATCAACAAATTACGATTATATAAGATAGGGACACGCACACTGAATGAATTAGTAAGTTGTGTTGAGTGACTGCGGGAGTTGATTCACATCATCGGGATACGAAAACAAGCGAAAGCATAAACCACTATCCTACCCAAATTCCCGTTGACTGAGGGAGTCGATCCACATGATCGGTACAAGATAACGAGAGAACA